ATTTTCATTTGTTGTTATCATGGGTGTTTTTCTCTGTTTCTATCTCCAAAACATGATACACATAAAACTGAGCAACAGAGACGTGGACAGGGAGTTACATAAGAAACATCTCTGACTAGCTGTAGAAGCTCCCTGGCTGTGCTGCCTCTGTCTCCATCTCTGTCTGAGCGCTCCAGTCAATCAGTCGCTCTATGACTTTTCTCTCCTTTCTTCATACTCAGGGTCAGGAGAACACCAATTCACACGGGAGGAAAAGGTTTACTTGTGTTGCAGAGCAATAGAAGTAAACAGTTTAAAAGTAATGTGCAATATTGTCTAAAAACCTGCGCCGTGTCCATAGGTAACTCTGGCCATTCACATCTCAAATAGATTAGTGGGTGAATGGAAAAGCCCTAACAAAAAGGGAGCTGAGACATCGCTTCGTATGAGTCTTTAAAGGGCCTTAAAAACAAATGATTTTTGATGATTGAAGTGGCAGAAAGAGTGCCACGCGGAAAGGTGGAGACAAATCCGAGACCTTCTTGTTGTTAGACGACAGTGCTAACCACCTCACCACCGTGCCGCCCACGTGATTTAATCAAATACTTTTGTTTTTTTATATAACCCAGTCTTCTTTGTGAATAAATAAATCCAAAATCCCCAAAGACATGCAGTTTTTTTTATTCATCCTTCAAATAATGCCGCTGTTTGTTGGTAGCCTGCCTTGTTCCTCTCAGTGTAAAAGCATTTGCAGATTTTGCGCACACTGTAGTTCACCCATCGAAACTGAATCTCCTATTCTATCGCTAAAATTAGAGGTTTCATTCTGACTTCTAGAATAAAAGAACAGCCACTCACAGACCTTTTCATCAAATACAATGAAGGCCAACGTAACCTCCACTTAGTCGGCATAGTCGAGCCATGTTGATGAAAAGGGTCTAGCTGGGGAGCAATGAAGTCACTGTAGGATTTACCTCTAGAAGGTCGACAGTTACCTGTGCTATAAGATAAAGTATTACATGAATGTTTCAACTCTTGCAAAAGTATATTATTCTCCTTCCTGATTTGCCCCATTGTTTTTTTTGGTGTATCTCTCCAGCATTGATGAGAACCTCTATCATAAATTAATATCGTATTTAGTTCCAATTTCACTGCCTCTTTGTCCTTTTAAATGATTGGGACAAATCCCTCAAGGGTGCCCCAACCGTCCTGTGTGACCGAGCGTGGATCTTTAAATAACACAGTTGTTAATGTGATTGGTGCTAATGACTGCAGAAAATATGGCGAGGCAGAGTCTGGACCCCTGGGAACACAGGACATACCTCGTCCTCTGATGTAACCCTGAGGGGCGCTGGCAGGATGGAGCAGAGCGGATTTGTACATGCTTAAAATATCTGCTGCTCAACTGAGATGGCCTTTCTCTCTCCTCCCACACATTGCATCTGATACACTGACACACTGATAAACCAGGCGCCATGACACACCAAAACTCAAGATCCTAATGCACATGTGATGTCTCAGGCTTATCGTCACCGTGGCCTCGGACCGGCTCTGAATTATCAAGACATGTGGTGTAAGGCAAACATTGAGCACAGTTTTCTATAGAAGGATTTCTCCGCATTCATTAGTGACTGGAATCTCATCCCTGTAGTAGCAACTTTTATGAGTGCACCATCACTGATCTAACTCCATTTCTTGGCGTTCACACCGATACTTGTAGAAGGTCAAATACACACGGAGGCAACCGTAACTTCTTTTAAACCGAAAGACTGGAAGGCGAACAGTATGAAGGACAATGGATGAGCAGTGGGGAGCAGCATGAGACCTGAGCACGAGAAGTGTCTGGTGAGCAATGAAGACATGATTGTGTCTTGATACTACCTTCCGGTTGTATGCGCATGTATTTGCTGTCTCTGTCGCACTATGAGATCTGTTGATGAAGAGTGTGTTACAAATAAAATGTATTATTATTAAAGTGATCAGCGCACCCAGTTGTACATCTGTTCAGTGCAGGAAAAGACTGCAGGTAAACACTGAAGCATTTGATTCAAACACTATTACATACACACATTTCTCCCAAAAAGCCCCACCGACATCTGAGAAAAACACTGTTTCTGCAGAACTGTATTACGGTGAAACCTTTACAACCAAGGGCCTCACACACTAGATAAATATGTGCACATCAGAATACATTAACACCCAAACGCACATTCAAATGAATGAACACGCGGGACTCCACACTCACGTACGATGGCTTGGAGAGCCCAGCAGATGTCTGAGCCAAAGCCTAGAGCCTCTTTTTAAAGTCCCATATCAAATAAAGATGGCTTTAGCGCAAAACCACGCAAACGTTAATATACGTGTGTCTGCATCCTTGCAATTCGAAGCACACCAGAAACAAGAAAAACATTCTGCAAACCCAATTCAATCAATCCCCATATTGTGGCACGCCAGTCTCCAAAACAATGCCACACAACTGCATGGTCTTGAACGGAAGGCTCAGATTTTTACGCTCTGGTTTAATTTGTTGTGTTGTCATCTTGAGAAATGACCTTGGGCCGTGGTATTATTTTTATTATCCCTGCTGGCTGCCAGTTGTTGGAGTAAACTTAAATTAGGGGGTGCATGAGCCGTGGTAACAGAATTCTTGAAATAAATGGACAGAAATCACCTGGATTCCATTTGAAATGGTACATTTGGAGAAATTGCAATGGAGTGTGAATGATAGAGCCATTTGTATAACGATGAGCATATTTTAGGCCTCATTACAGGCTGGGCAGGGTGGCTCCGTATTTAAAAGGTACCAGCCGTCCATCCAGGGCTGGCCAGGTATCAGCAAACATCCACTCTCTTTAGGCACTGCCAGATCATGGTCACCAATGGGAGGGTCGACTTCAAGTTATTTTATGTTGGCAAAACAAGTTGGGGCTTTTTATAAGAATCATACACCGCCTGAGGACATTTACAAGCCAAAGACAGAGAACAGCCCACTAATGAAAGAGGCAAAAGGAAACTGGCACAAATTGTGTCAAGAAACAGATGTCAGCTGGCCGAGCAGCGCAACATTGAACAGCCATGAAGGAATCTGCGTCTCGTTGTTCCCTGACAGGAATGTGGTAAGTAGCCCAGGTCCCTGGATGAATTCACTTGACTCCGCAGACCACCCGAGGCAAAGGAGTAATCGCACCAGGTAAAGGAGCATTTCTGTGAAATAGTGTATCCCTTTGTATCGTTAAAAGGGTAACAGTGTTTTTGAATGCAGACTAAATTAGCTTTTGGCATCTTTAATGTTTTGGTTCAGTCTCACTGCTGGCATCAAACTTAAGCCAGAAACCTGTGATGAATCGACTCTTTAGCCAAATGACAAAGTTAGCTATTTGTGGTGAAAATAATGAGGTCTTTAACGGCTAGAGATACAGATATTTAAAACATGAAAAAACAAAGAATATAAGCAGTCTATTTGCCTTGTGGCGTCAAAACACAGCTGTAAATATTTGTGTTAATGTCACCGTGTCCCTGGAGGATGGACACAGGCAACGGGTTGCCAACACCTTTGCTGCACGACCTTTAAGAGGTCAATGATATTTGTTTAACTCAGTTTGTTTTATGAACGTCCTCTAAATGGTCAACATTCTAATTATGGTTATCGTACAAATCCTATATTGTTGTAGAACAAAACCAAATTCACTGTTTCATTAGGCGGTTGCTGTGTTTTGCTTTGTTTTTCTCTTATCTCAGCAAGTTGATGAAAATGGCTGCATGAGGCACACTGAGATGCATGATAATGAAAATGTTTGGCTCAGCCTATGATTCATTCTATGATAGTTTATCCTGTTCTGGTATTTCCAAATTTGAAGTATGTTTGCTCTCAAGATGGAATCAGCGTTCACCTTGTGGTTGTTAATGTCCTATTGATTCTATCTCTAAATGTAAATGCTGTGTACGTTTAGGTGCCTTTGTGCATGGTTTCTTCATCATTCGTTTTCTCTCCCTGCATTCACATTCCATTTCCCATTGTGCCAGACATGTCTGGTTTTTCTCTTTTATTTCCAAGTCTTTAACTTTGATCTTTTTACCACTTTTCAATTTTTATTTTTTTTTAACCTTTCTTCCAAATCCCCTCTTAACATTTTAAGTTTAGCGGCACTCAACGAGCCGTTTTCTGGAAACCCAAACTCTTTTGTCCAGTATGGGAGACACTCTGTACATGTTTTCCCGTATTTCTGCTGCATCATTGCCACAATCGGACCCGACGTTCCGTGTGTTTTGCGGACTGGCCACCCATCTTTTACTGGTGGACCCTACCGGTTTACTTATTACAATACAGTCGTCACCGTAAGGCTTAGTTTCTTTACTCAAGGAAAAACCCCACTCAAAACTCACGCTTCGATTTTGCCACGATCTTGTTCTAAAGGTAATTCAGTAGAACTCACGTTTGGTTAACAATAACAGTGATATCGTTTTACCTGCTTCAGCATAAAATTCACGTAGGCTATTTCCACGATCTTATTCCACAGGTGGAATTCACGTGTGGTCAATAGCAACGGTCTTATTTGCTATCTGCGTTACGATCTCGGAGAATTTGTTCCGAGTGAAATCTTTACCGTAAGCAATCCTGTCTTCTACTTGTAGTCTAGCGATGTTACGATCTCGGAGAATTTGTTCCGAGTGAAATCGTACACGATCCTATCTACCTTCGCATAAAATGATGCATTAGAAATATCCCGGAATCATGTACTCAAAAAAGATATTAAAAGATTATTATAAGGAAAAAAAAAAAAAATGTTAAAAAATAATTTTATTCCCCAGACTATAACAACCACTTGATCAGTCATCTGTCTCCGTTATGTTCAACTCTTACTGTTACTTTATAATCGGAATTTCAACTTCTTACCCGAGTTTGTAGAAATTAATTCTTCTTCGCTGGATACACGTGACGTCAATCAGGACTCCTCTGGTTTCCGCCGGTCCTTTCTCTCTTGTCTAAGGAGGTATGAGGCAGGATCATCAGCTGGTGATCCTGGAAAAGGCCTTTTTCCCCGGACGGTCCCCTGGAGCCTGACGGACGGTCAGTGAATCCTGTTCGTGACGCCAAATTGTTGTGGAATATTTCAATAAAAGCTCTGTAGAAGAGAATGATTTGTCTGATAAAACCGAGTCTTGATGAATGATCAAAGTTGCAAAAAGTCCATTTATTGCTTGCAAGCAGGAGGTCAAATACACAGGCACGTATCACAGTGCTCTGTGGAAATGGCGTCTCCGAGCACTAAAGACGCTGAGTTTTTATACACATGTGGAGGACATTCTCTGTGTCAGTTACGAGAAGCAGCAAAGCAGGTTGAGATAAGAACCCAGGTGAAGCTGAGGGTAGCACACACACACAAGATACTCCTTAATGGCCGCTGCAAATCATTATTACTTGACATAAAAGTAAAACTTGGATCCAGAACTTTCGTACAGAATAAGATATCAACCAAGGCCAATAAGAGGAGTCCTTTGTTTTGAAGCTTCTATGAGATCGAGTCAACCGTCCTCCCTTCTCAGGGCACAGCTGCAAACTAACATTTTGTATCATGCTGCTCTTTGCACATCAGGGTCAAATACAGGACACTTCAGACACGGCTTTAGCACAAAACAATGTTATAACATATTTTTACCATTACACCACTCAGTGTCACCAGTTCAGCCTGCAATGTACAAAACAGCCACTAATCACCGAGTACCCATCATACTCATTACAAAATGCATAATGTGCTGGCAAGCCCAACCTCCTCCCTCCTCGGCCCAAGGCACCTGTGCACCAGCAGGTCTGCTTCAGGTCTGACATTCTATCATAGGAAATAAAACATTATATTAATTTCCCCATGATATACAGGATGTAGATTAAAATTGTACAACCTACCTGCTTAGTATAGTTTGCTCACACACACGGTACTGGCGAGCAAAAAAACACAGCAACCCAGACTTCAGCACATGCCGGACAACGAGAACAAACGTGAGTTGCTCAGCTCTCGGGATCTCCTTTTATATGGAGAGGCTCTCCTTGAGTTTAAGTCTCCCGCTCTGTGCTGAGGCTCCCCGGTCCTACGGTCCCACCTTTCACATATGTTTGATTTGTTGACACGTTGCTGCAATGTTTTACTTTTCAATGTCAACTACATTTTATTAAATGCATTTTATTTCACTCAGCTTAATTTGGGACAAGTTTATTAACATTAATGAAACATGTCTTGTTCCCTAAGGGTGCAGGTCCTAATGAAGTCTACCAATCACTCCACCCATTGATGATGGACAAAGACCAAGTCTACAGCACCATAACACCCAACAAAAGGGAGGGACCGTCTACGTCCCCACTTTGAAGGATCTCTGCAGCAGCAGCTATTGCATCAATATTAAATGCCTGAGTGTTGAAAGATAAAATAAGTATTTTGCATTTGCTAAATAAAGCGTGGGACATACTTTCATAATTCCATGTCAGCGGACAGCTTCACACTTGTACCAGTCGGTATTTGGTTTTATATAAACTTCTTTGAAGACAAATTGTGCACAGTCCTGGGTCTGCCTGTCAGGACACTCGTGGTCCAATCACAGAGGGCGGAGGAAAGTCCCAGGTCTCTGAGCCCACTGACGAGCTTAGAGGCCACGATGGTGCTGATGTCAGCTGTCCTCAATGAACAGCGTTCTGCCATTTGTGTTCCTCCGGTCCAGGTGGAGGTCTGGGTGGATGGTGAGAGCTTTGCTGGCGTCTGTGGATGTGTTTGTCATTCGGGCAGTGGGGTTTGCTCTTTTGGGGGACAGGGACTATGGTGGTCTTTTTGGAGAATGTGGGGGAATACAGTGAAATGTGTTGTGGAATATTTCAATAAAAGCTCGGTAGAAGAGAATGATTTGTCTGATAAAACAGAGTCTTGATGAATGTTTTGAAGCTTCTATGAGATCGAGTCGACCGCCCTCCCTTCTCAGGGCACAGCTGCAAACTAACATTTTGTATCATGCTGCTCTTTGCACGTCCGGGTCAAATACAGGACACTTGAGACACGGCTTTAGCACAAAACAATGTTATAACATATTTTTACCATTACAAATGTTATAAATATCACTGAGCACATCTGCCAGTTGTTATGCACAAGCCACAAGAGCTCGGCCGAGGATGCCTTCAGGTCCAGGTGCCTTTGGTGGCTTAAGATTTACACACATCCACCCTGAATACTGCTGGTGACGCAACAATGATGAAGACTGTGGGTAAAACACTTCGTCATGGCCTTTTATTTGCTCTAAACTTGACTTACGTTTTAGGGCAGAAAGAAAACGTAAAGTTTGGGACCTCAGAGAAACGTTTTGTTTTAGAATTGGTGCGTCTCAATCTGCTAACATGCTCACTTTTCATTGTGTCATACACACTTAGTTTTTGTGTTGTAAGTGTCAAATTGCTCGCCTTTTACATTTAGATTGTGTACTTTCTCTTTCTTCAAATTCAGAATAAATGTTTTTTTTCTTTATGTGAATGGCATCTGGTTTTGTGCACACTGACATAATCTTACACTGTGTTGGAGAGACATTCACCAGGGGACTGTACCTTTAAGGGAAAGTGTTTTGATGTGAGGTTAACGTGCATGTCCGCAGTAGTTCTCACGTGTTGTTTTGTGTTATTGAAGTGGAGAGTAAAGCTGACTCAACGCATCTCCGTCTCCTGTCTCGTCTCTTTTCACCCTCCACAACTGTTTGCTTTGCGGCTGAGCGTCAGTGAGAGTACGAGTAGGTGTGTGTGTAGCGGCAGCGTCCTCAAGAGATTGCAGTTGTAGTTGGATCGCGTCCCTTCGTCTGTGTCCGAGCTGTCTCGTTCCTTTGCTCCTTCAAACTGAGTCAAAGAATTCAGCCTTCCAGCCCACGATTTGGAGGACAAATCGGATGTATCTCTTGCGGTGCAGCATTCCCCATCATGCACAGTAAACTACTGAAGATTTAGTTTTATTTACGACAATATGAGGTGGGCCGGCAGCAGGGGAGCAGCTGCGTTGTTAACTTCCGACCGTAGTTATCAGTGAAAAGTCACTTTACTGCCTTAACTTTCACACTTTAAAAGGTTGATCAATGTCTTACTGCGGTTGTGACCGTTTCAAAGATCGTTTATACTTGTTATTATGAACAGAAACTGATCAACGTGAGTTCAAGTAGACAAATTATGAACCTGATCTTGTCACGGCCAGTTTACCAATGACCCAAATGCAGACAGACGGCATGTTAGGTGGAAAGAAAAGCTTTATTTTATGGGTACATGGATGCAGTTGAGGAAGCGGTGACAAGGAAGTGTACAAAGTGCTGGCTGGGCGGCGATGCGGTATGAAGATGTACTGGACTGACACAATCACACAGGTTATGTTACACGGTACCAAGATTACCGGCTAACGGGGCGAGAGTATATCTGCCACAGACGTGAAGAGACGATCGGGCGATGAGACAACCGGAAACCGGGATAATTCAGCTGGCGGTGACGAGGGCTTGATGATGGACCAATGAGGAGCCCAGATGCCAGCTGATTGCAGCCACACACACACACACACACACACACACACACACGCACAGACACACACACACACACACACACACACACAGAAGGAACAAACCGTATCAAAGCTGATGTCACATTAGAGCTGGTGGGTCTTTTGGGGGGGGGGTTAGGGTCAGCCATTCAGTTTCAGTAAACATCTCAGTATGATTCAATGCAAAACAATTATTATTATTCATTATTACTTTGCAGTTAAGTATTTAACATCTTATTCAAACAATTTAGTACATTGATGGATATATACAGTATATAACTATATATAAACAATATGATATAACTACTATATTGTATAAATATAATAAAAATATAATATTAAATACAATACAAATCTACTTATATAAAACCTACCTCTCCTTTCTCTGGTACAGAGTTCGGGTCAGGTCTTCTTGGAAGGACACTGCTCGTGGTCACTCTTGTTTTAACTGGTGTGAGACTCGCGTAGGGCTGAAGAGCTCTGCCCACAACTCAATGGATTTTAGGACTCTGAAAGGATGTGTCACTCATTGACTTTAATCAGTGATTGGCTAAACTGCTTCTAAAGGCTGGCGCATGCTTCTGCTTCTGCGTCTTTACACAGAGTCGTGTCAACGCACTCGTTTCAATTCATGGTTCTAAAGTCTTGCGTGTGTTGCAGAGCAATTCACCGCCAGAACAACAGGTGGAGTAACGTGTTTTTGTTGAAGACGACCAAAAGAGTGACGTCTTGCGTAGCTTTTGACGCTAGTCTAGAAAAATGGGTCGACGCACGCAAGAACGCAAGAAGAGGTGAAAAGACGCCCAAAGGGCTCTTGAGTGCGAGTGTCCTTGCGTCTCTCTGAAAACGCAGAAGCATGAACTAGGTTTTGGATCCACCGCTTTGGGACACGGCCCGAGCCCAGCTGAGACATGCAGAGAGGGCGTGCAGGAAAAGCATATATTTTGCGCAGATATCTTAATTTACTAATATTACTGGGTACATTCCATGTTTCAAAAACACACATGTTGACTATTTGTAAAATGTATGTTTTATATAATGAAAATGATTATTAGGATTTCATTTAAAATGACCAGAATGTGTCCTTCTCTCAGCCTGATCTATAGGTATGATGCTCTTGAGGTAAAGAATCTTCCTAAATGAAATGAGAAGAATATGATCTGGCTGTATTTTATATATTTTTTCAAATATAAAGCTTTACTGTCAAGCTTGCTGCAGCAACAGGAAAAGTTGCCGCCACAAACAGGAAGTCCCCTCACAGGCCAGACCATTTCCTTTCGTTGAAGCACCCGCCCCCCCGTCCACATCAGAGGCTGAGTCAATAGAGGAACACGGCCACTAAATGAGAAACAGCTTGTGTGTTGCAGGAGGAGGAGGAGCATCAACTGGAGACAATAAGAGGAAGTGAAGGAGGGACATGAAGCAGTGAGGCCGAGATCCTCCTTGTGGCAGTGGCAAGTGGGTGGCATCAAACTTGAGAGCCCCACCCCCTACACGGAACCCGCCGGTCCAAACCTAAAATTAGCCTCTGTAATAAGAAGACGGGGGCTCACGTGTCTCAAATAAAATTAAATAAAATTAAATAAAATTAAATATTTACAGCAGCTGACCTGTCGTACAAATAACAGTTGTTTCTGGGAAAAATTGGCTCCTCCCACCCAGCGTGCCGTCGTGACGCCGACTGATTTACTGGCGATTGCCGCTGCCTGTCACAAAGTTGCCACCCACTTGCCACTGCCACAAGGAGGATCTCGCTGTCACTCACATGAAGACGGTGATGACTGACCTGATGATTCCTACACACTCGTTCACTCACTCTCTCACTTTCACGATGATGAAAATCTATGTTTACTTTTGTCTTCTTTCTGGTGAGTTAGTTTTTTTCTGTATCTTCTGTATTTACACAAACTGTAGCTTGCGTACAAAAGATGTAGCTGTTGATTGAAACATGTATAATTCAATTAGGGGTTTATTTTATTTTTCAAATTTGCCGTCATGAATAGTAAAAACTAACGTCAAAGGAAATGTACGTATGAACTATGACTAAGGCAAAATGTCTCCTTTATTTCTGCTTGTAGGTCTGAGTGTTGTGCAGATGAACCCTCTGAACATAAATGGTCATGTTGGTGAAAGTGTGACAATCAGCTGCTCAGACCGGAACGTTTGGGCTGATGTAACAGAGAATGTCAAGTACTTTTGTTACAGTCCATGCACGGAGGACCGACACATCATCATTAAAGCAGCATATGAAAAAATTGAAAATAAAAATAGAATAGAGTTACATAACGAAGGAAAAACCTTGTTCGTGACCTTCAGCAATCTCCAAAAGTCAGACTCCAAAACATACTATTGTGGAGTGGATAGATATGCCTTACTTGACTCATATATAATGAGGTGAATCTAAAAGTCACTGATGGTGAGTTTATTCTCTAAATATTCTCAATGAGAAAATCCTTGTTTGCCCAAAAGTAATAACTTTCTTAATTGTTGGTATGTTCACTTGTCTGTTATTTTCAGCTCCGCCCCCCAGTCCCAGCATGACTCCACAAACTGTCATTGTGTTTACCACGTCCTCATTTACAAAGAGCTCCACGATGTCTTCTAACAGCTCAGATGTTATTACTGATACGTCTACATCATACACCACCTTCAATACACCACCTGATGCACCAGCACAAGGATCAGTTAGTGAGTACATCATGCATGAACATATTACAGTATATTGACTGCATATATAATTTGATGTTGATTAAAGTTGTATAAGAATACATCTATATAGATACACACACACTTGTCAATGCAATGCTCGCATACACAAGTACTGCCAGCACCACTTTATTCATAAATTATAACATGTTCAGCATC